GTGTCTCGCGGCGATAAGCCTCATCGCGTTGTCCTTCGAGCACGACCGGGAGGATTCGACGAAGAGGGCGGAAAGACGTTAGGTACACAACCAATCAGTGTACTGACTTGCAGACACCCTGCTCGCAGGTTCCGTGAGGTCCGCAATCGAGGCCGCAACTGGGTTGCGAGCAGTCCACCCCTGTCCAATGTCCCTCGCACATACAGGTCGCCGATTCCAGGTCGTACGTGCCGTGGTCCGAGCAACGGGGCAGGCACTGGTACACCTGCTGGTCGACCTGATCGCACTTGTCGCCTTGCCAGCCTGCTTTGCAGTAACATTTCCCGGAAACGCAGGCGCCGTGCCCGCTGCAATTCGGGTCGGGACAGTCCGCTGTAACGAAAGACAATTTTCCTTGATGACACCCTAAAGATCCAGAGTCTTGGCTACTAAACGCTCGCTGCCGTACCCAAACGGCAAACCAGAGAGGCGATTGAACTACTCGAGCAATCCTATTCATGCGAACTGATCGCTCATCGCGATTCGCGCGTCGAATGCCTACAATGCATCATCCCCGAGCTTCGTCCATCGTTTCCGCGTTTACCGTCGCAGAGACGAGTTCCAGCGATCGCGAGGCTCGCGGCCCGTTCATAATCCCGGCAACCCCGGTGTCGCGCGAGTTGCAGCTTCCTTAAGGTTGTTTTCGAGGCGTCTCGGAAGGAGGTCGAGCGAAGCTAAAGAGAGAGGACGCAGCGAGAGGGAGGCGGGTGCCGGTGATTGCGCCCTGGGCGCCGACGAATGGGCCAACTTTTTAAATTATGGCATCGGAACAATTGCATTATTCCCGCGGATCCCAGCTGCCCCGGGGAAATTATGAAACTTAATTCCAAAGCGTCCCGGCGACGCGTCGCGTGGTGCCGTCCCCGCGTCGCACCGCTCCGCGCGGGACCGGTTATATGTATACACGCCTGCGACGTTCGTTCGGCCGGAGATGAGGGAAATTCCTCGTGGATTCTTCGCCCGTTACGTATGCGGCACGTTCGTCGAACGGGATCGCCGGGTTTTTATTAGAACCACGGGAACGCGGGCCCTATCGATCCGCGATCGGAATTTTTGTAATAAATTACCGTGGCCCGCGTCACGGTACAGAGTGTCAGCTAAGAGATTCTTTCGGGCGGAGCGCCCGCTCGCTATTGAAAACCTCGAACAACACTCTTTGTAATTTCGCGTTACGCCGGGGAATGGATATTAGCCGGCGTCCTGGAGGAAGACGCGCAACGCGGCGTAAGATACGCGTTATCGGTCGGCTAAAGATTCTTTCGTTTTGTCCTGTTTTTCATAGACGAAGATGGAGAGGGACAGTATTGGGATTCACAGTGTGAACACGCGTTCAAACTGAAGAATGTTCGACCGACGACGGATCCCTGATCGATTGCGTGTATCGAGTCTAATGGTGTCTGCCGGTCGCGCGAAGGCGACGTATGATCCGCGCGGTATGAATCATTCGAGCAGCCTGCATCTACGAGCACCGGCTAATATGTGAACCCATCAAGGCTGCCACTCGACGTCCTGCATTCCGGAGCTGTCCATCAAAGTGATTCAGTTCGTGGAGCACCGATGCCGAGTGAAGCTTATTGTGCGCCGGGGAATGTTCGCGGACGTAAAGCAATCGTTAAAGAGCCAATTATTGATTGTAGAAGATTTCATAGGATTCAATGAGAATTGGGGTTAGACTGTATGAAAGATTGCCCCGGAATGTTTTTAGCATACCATTGAAGCGGGAAGTGGATGCAAGAACACTCGGAGGCGCTGAATGGAGGCGGAATTCGTCGGATTCATCCGACATTTCATTTTAATATCGAAGATTTTCTCTTCCACTCTTCGCGGAATGGCCCAATCGGCAAACAAATACGCCCTCAGCTCCAGAAGCGGTTGCGGTGTCGCTAATGTGAAACGAATACCGGCTGGTTCCTCGGAAAAATGAAAGGAGAGAAGAAACGCGCGCCGCGACGGGAGCCGTGAAGATGTCAGGGACAAAGCGTCTCCCGTTCCCCGGGAATAATTTCGCCATTCATTCCGAACGTCATTTTTCCGCAGTTCGCGGGCCCGCGGCGGAGCGAAACTTTTATTCGCGAGTCGCGTTCTATGTTTCTCCGTTTCCCGTGGCTGTCCCGACTCCATCGATTCGTCGGCGATCGATGGCTCGCGAGGTAATCATCGCGCTGAGTCAGTAGGTTTTGACCCGTATGGAAATTCACGGGACCGCTCGTGCATTAATTATGGGAACAGCCAGGCTACGTTCGCCGGGAATGGGGAGCGTGCATTACTAATATCTTGAATATCCCAGGGCGTAGTGGGGGCTCGGAATCTGCGGTTGAATTACGGCCGATATTAATGGCGCTGCGACAAATATGAAGAAACAACATCCGACGCAGAAATAGACACGTCGGATGCAAACCTTCCACGGGAGCCGCGTATCCGTTGGTTATTTTTAATGTTTTGTTAGCGAACCTACATCGGTCGTCACGTGACATTTAAATCCGTTTGATGGGTTGCATGCATTTATAACGTCTTCAAACTACCCTGTCGTCTAAGAAGGTATTTAAGGAAGTTTAATCAGGTACTGGGTTCGTTCCAGAACCATTTCGAACTTCCGAGTCACATTTCAGACATTGATTATCGTTTATGAAATCGAATCGATGAACAATTAATCGGAGAGGTCGACTTACGTTCGTCACAGAAGTTGCCCTTCCAGCCAGGATTACACACGCACGATCCCCTGACGCATTGTCCGTGTTGATTGCAATCAGGAACTTGGCAGTCGCCTAATGGTATGTCGCATTCGGCACCTTTCCAGCCGTCCTCGCAGTGACACATGCCGCCGCCGTATTGCCCGTGGGAGGAGCATAGAACCGGGCACACGCTCTTGCTGCAATCGGCTCCCTGAAAATTTCAACGGTGCCCTTCGTAATCTGCGCCGTTTCCGCCATAAACGTGATCGACGACAGTCTTTAGCGGTAACGTTTCTACGGGGAGCGCTGTTCGTCTCTTTTAGTACCGTCAAGTATCGCTGAGCTATAATAGAAGTTCTATTCCTGTACCAGCAAATTGTCCACTTCCACGATCGAAAATTCTTAACAATTTTACGTATATTCAGAATCTACGACCTATCTACATTCTATATAAAATTGAAAAAGTTCCTATCAAACATTCGCATCCCGAAAAGAACACCCGACGCGTGTCAGCCCCCCAGAAAGGCGGCGCAAACCGTTCGCCGGCCATTACATTCGACGCGATGGTTATCTATGGACACCCTAACAGTGCGAACCGAGGCATCGGCCTTCAGCGAAGTGTTAACAGAGATAAGCCGTGGCCGTTTAAAACCGGCCCGAGTCGCTCGAGCTGAAAGACACGGGCTGTCTTAACGGAAACCCCCGGCATACGCACCTGATACCCATCGATGCAGTCGCACTTGCCAAGATAACACGATCCCAGGCCGGAGCAGTCGTTCGGGCAGGTAGTCGAGACGCCTTCGGCTTCGGTGACGACCAGGGTAACTTTGTACGGCTGCAGCTCGTCGTTGTAGACGGAGAGGAACCAACGGCCGGTGTTCAGATACTGCAGCAGGCTGACGTTCACCATCATCGGCTCGACGATGGTCCTCTTGATCAGGACGTGCTGATAGGCGGGCGCCGAGCGGATCTCGCGATTCTTCGCTCGAACCTCCTGCGCCGCCGTGCTCATGAAGCTAACCGCCTCGGAGGCGGCGTCTCGCTTCAGCCTGTGGTCCACGCGACCCCCTTTCACGAACTCGACGAAGTCGTACTGCGTGACGCTCGGCGCGACGTTGCGTCGCCCGTAGACCGCGAAATTCACGCCCCAGGGCAGAGTCAGGTTCAGCCGGATGAACGCAGGCTGCTTGTTACGGAACTCCGTGTTCCAGAAGTTATAAGGCGGTATGACGGCCGAGTGGGCCACGTTGTACGCCTGCAGCTCGAGCACCGCCGGCCATTGTTGCGCGGACTGCTGGATCTGCGGATCGCTCTGCTGATCCCCGGCGCTGTCCGACGCGCTCGAGTGTTCTGCCGTGCTCGTGGGCAGGGACTCTGTGTGCACCGAGAGAGGAAGTGGATGGCGTTTATCAGCGTCTGGGCATGGGCCGAGTTATTAGGAGGCGGTCACGCCGCGAGGACTCGTCACCGTGGAGAATTATACGAGCTTAAAGTGGGCGCGCCGTAGAGCGGAACGAATTCAACATTCTTTGTACCGGATGCTTTAGTAACTGTTTTTGTATCAGTAGATCGCAATTTAGTTTCCAGTTGCGTTACACGGGAGTTTATTATAAATTCACGTAGGAGGTCGTTAATTTTGAAGCGAAAATGAATTTTAGCCGATGGTTCGCGCGGAAGTTTTAGATTCCCGGTAGCTCGTAGTCATTCCCCGCGGCGAACGATCCAAGGAAGTAACGTTAAGTCAGAAGTATCTAATTTCGGATCGATATTATTCTCGTAGCAGCTATTGTATCGGCGTAGACGCGACATCAGAGCAGAGGAAGCCATTCGAACGTGGCAGACGCCACCGAAAAGCAATTACCGCGAGACGCCGTACACGGGAGTATTTACATCATGCAGAGTGGATGCAAATTGATACTGCTCGATATTTACCTTCGGTGGGTATTTGCGTTGATATCGGGTCGTGAACGTGCGCGTTCTCGTGAGTGACAGCCTTGACATCTTGGACCACCACGCATTTCGTGCTGTCTATCGGCCGTATGGAGCTCACTGCTGGAAAGAAAACAGAATTCTTCCTGAGTGATCCGTCCAGATTCATTTCGCTGGTATCGTTGCCCCGCGGAGATCTTCCCAAATTGCTTTCCATCTTAAACGCGCGATTCTCGGTTTGCACCGACACGAAAATCACGCTATTCGCAATCTACGCGAAACAATTACTCGATGTAAGGGACGCCGTGTATCGAATGTAGAATCGGCAGTGTATCACTTTGATTTCTTAAAAACTTAAGGTCGCAGCCGAACCGAGGGAACCGAGCGTTTTGCCGTAATTCGAAAGCGACTGTTCGAATTTATGAACCCATTAGAGCGCTCCGGGACGTTCGACTAAAGCCCCGTTCCTGATTCCTGGCGCAATAAAAGAGTCTCGTAACGGCGCTATTTTGTCTCGAGCGGCGGCCACGTACATTAAGAATATAACGAGTTGATCGCGGTCGGCTTTGTGACACGGTCAACGCATCTGTATAGAAAAATCGTAACTCGGGGTTGGTCACGGTGCCTCGTAAAGCTACCGCGAAGTAATATCGCTCCTGCGAGGAAGCTGGGAATTTTCATGGATACCGGTCTCGGTTGGAGGTTAAACGAATTCGCAAAGTGGAACATGGAAATTAACTTGGTGTGCACTTTATTTTGTAAATTTCTTCGCAAATAATTAATACGAGGCTGTTGCCTCGAATCACGAGTTCCTTATGCTCCGCGCCGATGAATATTCATAAAAATACGTTCCCCGGCGCGCCTAGAATTTCACTTTCTGAAGTGCTAAACCGTACCGGGAGGTCTATGGATAGCGCATAACCGTAACAACACTTAACGTTGATCGGTCAGTGGGGCTTAAGTGGCCGCGTGACACGTGGGTTATTGCAACAGGGGTCATCGACATATGGCGTTCATTTTTTCCTCCCTTTCTTGACATATTACGGGTGAACAGCGGCCGCTGTTCAATATAATTCCGGCGGGAAGAGGTGAAAATGGAAACGTCGATAGATGTTTCGATTCCCGTCCCAGCCGTCCCAATATTTTCCTATAAATCCCGCCGTTCCGGGCGCCAGCGTATTCATGGCGGACGCGGCGCGCTGTTCCGCCATTTATAAGCGCGCGCGCGACCCCGAGCTCCGAGCGTAAAACGTTTCTTACACTCGTCGTCATTTTTATTAGAGCATTCCGCGGCGAACAATCGACACGTAAATCCCGCGAATCACCATCGGAATCACGACACGTAATTTCCTGTTCGCGACCGGCCGCCGTACACACCGCCGTATAATTTTTGCTGTAAACCGCCAGTCGAATAGACAAGCGCGAGTTTCATTACGGGGGAACGCGCGTGAGTTGCGAAACGAGCCATCGCACTGTGCAACGCAATTTTCCGCGTGAAGTTTTAGAAACCGATGTTATTTACATACAACTGGAAGGTAATGGGGTAGTTAACGAAAGTTGGTTACGACCGCCCATGAATATTTACGCGCGGGGCATTCTACCTGCGCGGACATGTGTCGCGGACGCCGATTACGGGCAAGATGTTCACAATGAAAATAAATCCGTCGCCGCTCGAACTCGACGCGGGGAATATCGACGGCTCGAGAGACTCTCCTGCCCGCAGGCTCGTCGCCTCGTCGCTTTGTACTTCACCCTTTTTTTTCTATAAAGAACGGATTACACATGCTCGCATGAAAGTGAGCTTAACGTGTTCCCCGTTATCCAGAAGTGGGTCAGGGCGGTTTTACTCGGCCATTCAAGACCTCACGCGGCGATCCGCGGTCCGTGTAATGCATGGAAATGCAACGTTCCGTTTCCGAATAGAGAAGTTTCCGAGGGAAATATTAAAAGTATCCCCCGTCGGCCGATTCTAGAAGGAATATTCAGCTCTATACCGAACTGATCAACGCGTTCGCCCGATGAAGTCCCGGTAACAAGTAAACATTGGACGTTACATGAGCTGTAAAATTCGTAAATCCATTTCCGCGTACAATATTTGCCGAACTATGAACCCATCGGAACGGCAGCGAAAAGAAAACACAGGGATTTCGTATAGCAAATTTTCATTTCCGCCGGTGATATCGAGCTTCCCGATTGGACGGTTCGGCCGCGTCGCGCGGATAGCAAACACAACAAACGCAATAAAGCGGACGCAATAAATCAAACCGGCCCGGGGTGTGGGCAGAGTGTTTATACACGTGTGTACGTGTACGTGCGCGCGCGCGCG